GCCCGGAGGGGCGGCTCTGGCCAACCCAACAGCCGCAAGGCGTGGCCCACCACCAGCCTGCAGACGGCAGATGCCAGAGGCGGGAGCTCAGGAGCCCCGTGGATCGGACACCCCCAGCTCGGCCGGGGCAGAGGCGGGCTGCCCTCTGTGGTCGCTGGCGCCGCAGCGGTTCGCGCCACCCCAAGCCTCGGGCATCCAAGGGCCCACGGGCGGCACAGCGCGATTCTGAAGATTCGGCGCCAGCCCAACACAAAGCGCGCCAACAAGGCCGGGCGGCGCGCCCCACGCTCCCCCGCGGCCCTCGCCTCTCCCCCCACTCCCGGGACCCCTTGTCCTGCCCTGGCGCAGCCCCTCTCTGCCCTTCCACTGTTTCCTCCCCCAACGCCTGCAAACTGCTGCCCTCCTGGGCTCCTGCTCCTCTCAGCCGAGGAACACAGCCGCGAGGCAGGTCAGCTCCCCACAGGGGCTGCGGAGACCAAAGAGCGCGGGGCAGACCAAACGCTTCTCTCTTACCGCCAGATGGACAAAGAGAAGCATAGAGATCGGGCCGGCGGGAACGAGGGTGTGCGGGCAGCAGGGCCTCTGTGAGCACTGCTCCGAGCGCTGCGGTGCGGTCTCCCAGAAGGAGCCCCTCCCCGAAGACAGATACTGGCACCCAGAGTGACGCCGGTGGTGACGGCCAGGAAGGCCAGCACACACAGAGCTTGCGTGTCTTTGCCAGCAATCCCTGGGGGGGCGGCGAAGGAAGGGGTGGGTGTCTGGCAAGAGGAGGAGGTGCCTCCGGCGGAGGTGGGGGTCCCACTGGCAGGCGGGCAGCTCCAGACACCGGGGCCAGTGACAGCTGCGATGGGCATCGGAGGCAGCTCCAGCTCCCCTTCCCGGCGACAATGCAGCCTCAGGCAAGGCACGGAAGGCTGCGGGCTACCGGGGAGGTGGAAGATAGGGGTCCCGGCAGCGGAGCTCAGCCAGGGGTGGGCGGTGGCCCTGGACTAGTGTAACGCGGTCTCCCGATGTTTCACCGCCGATGGCTCTGCAGACCCGGCCCTAGGGAGGATGGATGGGGGGGGGCAGACAGGGCGGAGAGCAGAGGCCTGTGAACGCGCTGACGGCCCCTCCCCCAGGGGCCCCACAGACACCGGCCACAAGATGGAAGAAGGACCTTTATTAAAACCAGGGTGAGGGCACAACGCCCCCAGGAAACCTCGGGGCAGCAGGCAGGGCTGGGCTGACACAGGCCAGGATGGGGGAGTCCAGCCACCTGGGCCCTGGGTGCCCTGGAGCCGCTGCCCCCTGCCCAGCCCCCAGAGCGCCTCAGGGAGAATCATCCAGGTGAGGCCAGGGCCCCAGCCCTCCTCGACCGGGGGGGCCGGGAAGAATGCGGCCCTCGCTGGACAGCATCTGGAACTCGTCGACGAGGCACTGCATGTCCACTGCAAGGAGGAGGGCGTGGGCGGGGGGCCGCTCCAGGGCGACACCAGCCCCCCGGGGCCCCAGCTGCAACCCACGGACCCCTGTCCGTGTCCCGCCCCCTCGGCCGCACTAGAGCCCGTGAAGGCTCCCCAGGGTCCGGCCGACCCCGGCGCGGCGGGCGGGGTGCAGGGCCCTCGCCGCGCAGGGCGGTTCTGGCCACGTCGGCGCAGCCCCAGCACAGCCGCCGCGCGAGGCGCCCAGACCCCTGGGCCGGGCGGACCTGCCGGTGGGTCAAACAGCGCTTCTCTGGGAGACAGGCGGGGAGGGCAGGCGGGCCCGGCAGGGGCGCCAGGCCAGGCCAGGCCGGCCTCGGCCTCCTCCCCGCGCCCCGGGGGCCCCTGGGCAGGCCGCGCCCCCACAGCCCCCCCGTGTCTGGGCTAGAGCCCCGGACCTGCCCACCCCGCCCCAGCTGGGCGTACCGAGTCGACGGTTAAGCCGGTCGATCTCCCGCAGCAGCACGGGGCACTGGGCCGGCACACGGGGGACGGAGACAGTGTCAAGGCATCTGGCCCCAGCCCGCGCCACCCCGGCGGCTACAGCGGCAGGGAGCCCCCGGCGGCGAGAGGCAGCCTCCCTCCCCGGGGTGCCCCCCCCACCCCGACCCCGACAGCCAAGGCAGCATTACCCGGGGGCAGGCCCCGGCGCTGGGGGCCAGCGGCTTCCTGTCCTGGCGGGGCGGGTGCAGGAGCAGCCCCTGGCCTGCGGGAGCGGAAGCCCACGTGCGGCTCCCCCGGGGCGGGGAAGGAGGCGCAGGGCGGGCAGGGTCCAGGCCCAGGCAGCGCTGCCCCCCCTGCAGAAGGTACCCGTGCTCCGACCAGCAGCTCCACCCTTCTCTCCAGGCCGGCCTTCCCGGGAGCCGGGGCTTCAGGTCGGCCGGGTCCACCCAGCTGCCTGGGGGCGAGGGCCCGGGTCAGCGGGGCCGGCGGGACCCCGGCCAGCGCCGCCGCCCGCCTTGCCCCCTCCGGCCACCCAGGCCTCTGGGCTCACCGGAGCGGGGGGCCCCTCTGGCCTTGGCGCCTTCCTGCGCCGTGGCCCGAAGCTGCCACTGCGGGGCTGCCTTGGTGGCAGAGCCCCCGTGTTCTCCCAGCGACGCGGCCCGCTGAGAGGGTCCCGGCCTGTGCGCGGGCAGCTGAAACACACGTGTCTCGCTGCCGGCTGCGTGTGCGTGTGCGGGGCGGGCTGGCACGGGCCGAGGAGGCAGGGCCTCCACCAGCGGGCCCCCGTCTCCAGCACTGTGCCCCTAGACGGCCGGGGAGGGGAGCGGGGTGCTACAAAGGCCGGGGCCGTGTGAGGGGGCAGAGGATCGGAGGACCCATCCTTCAAGGGGCCGGTCGGTGCCGATCAGCTGCCAGCCCCCGCCTTCCCAGCCCCCTGGTTCCCGGCAGCCCCCGGGGTGCCAATCTGCCATCCCCCTTCATGCCAGGACCCCGCAGCCCCCGGGCTGGCCAGCCCTGCCATCCCCCTTCAACCCAGGCCCCCTCGCAGCCCCAGCCCCACACCAAGCACTTCTCTGACCCTGTGGGACAAGCCACCGGCACCCTCGGGCCGTGCCCCAGGACAGCAGCAGCGCCGCCAGCCTGGGTGCTGGGGCTTGGGCGGGGCAGGGGAAGGCGGCCCACTCACCGAGCCCTTCGCGGCTGGCTCTCTCCGGGGCTTGGCATCCTCCGCGCCCACGGGTTCCCACTCCTGCGAGCCGCCCGCCCCGGCTTTCTTCCCGCGGGGCTGCTTGGGTGACCCCGACACCAGGGGGTGTTCCTCCGCTCTCCCAAGCACCGACAGCCCAGAGATGGGGGGGAAGCTGGCAGTGGCCGGAGGGCGCCCCGCCGGGAGGGTGTGCGCAAAGCTGCCCGGCACAGCTTTGGACGCGCTGCCCGCCGCGGGCCACCTCTTGTGCTGCTGCGCCTTCTTCCTGGCGCTGCGCCGAGGCTGGAGGCTCGGCCTGTCCCCCGCCTTCCCGCTGACCCGGCCAGGCCCCCTCTCCGACGACGGCTTGCTGGGCGAAGAGACCTGCGACCCTCCTGCCGCCGCAGGGCGGTGCGCTCGGCCGGCCGAGGGGCCAGGCGCAGAGGAGCGGACGGCAGCCGGCGCGCGCAGGGCCCGCTTTGTGGGCGCCTCTGCAGGCTCCTTGCCGCCCCCGCGCCGGCCCGACCTCCCTTCTTGGGGGAAAATGGCCTCCTCCAAGATCTGCGTCTCCAGGGACACGTGGGAGGACGAGTCGGACGGCTCGGGGTCCGAGGGCGGCTGGTCGGGCGACGTCTGGCCCTGCAGGGCCCGGCGAGGGTCAGTGCATGCCCCGTCGCTCCGCCCGTCCCGCCCAGCCCGGGCCCCGCGAGCCCGTGGGCCCCCCACGCGGACCACGGGGCCCCGCGCACCCTGGGGGGGCGGCCCTGGACACGCGGCCCCGACCCGGCCGCCGCCACCCCCACTGCCCTCGCTGTGCCCGGCCGCGGGCCCAGACCTGCTCCCCGGTGGATGCGCCGTCATCGCCACAGGTGTCCATGTCGCCGGAGAGGCGGGGCGCAGCGACGCGGGCACGCGGCGCCCTCACCCTCGGGGCTGTCGGCCGCGGGCGGTGGAAACCGGTGGTCGCGAGGGGCCCGGACCCCAGTGCGCACGCGCATCCCGCCCGCCAATCGGCACGCCCTTCGCGAGCCCCCCACCCCCGCCGTGGTCTCCGCCAATCAAGGCCCAGCGCGCGCGGACCCCCCCCCCCCCGCCGAGGTCTCCGCCAATCAGGGCCCAGCGCGCGCGGACCCCCGCCGAGGTCTCCGCCAATCAGGGCCCAGCGCGCGCGGGCCGGACGCGGGCGGGCGACAGGGTGCGGGCGGCGCGCGTCCCGGTCCGTGCCAGTGCCCCCCGGCTCGAGTCCCTCCTCCTCCCCGATGAACGGGTGGTCTCCTGCAGGCTCCCCGGAAGGGGCCAGTGGGCAGTGGCGGACACGCCAGGGCCTCGCCTTCAGGGGCCTCTGCGGCTGGGCCTGGGGCGGGCAGCGGGGCTTCACGGGTGCAGGCGTGTGTCCCGGGGGCGGATGGGGAGCGCGCCCCCGAGCATGAGCCACAGAGGGCCCGGGCACGCGGGAGGCGGGAGCCGGGCCTTGGCGTGCGGGGCAGCGGCCCCGAGTGTCCCAGTGTGCTCCGGGGTGCGGGGGCAGCGGGGCCCCGGGCCAGCGCTCCCAGGCGGGGGCGGTGGGGGTGGCCGGCGCCCCCGGCCCGCGGTGCTCCTCCGCCGGCGGCGGCGGACCCGCCCCCGGGAGGGCACCCCGTCCTCAGCGACCGACAGACCGAGCGTGGCGGGAGGAGCGACGGCGCCGCCCGGGCCCGCGCGCGTTCGCGCCCCCCCCCCCCCCCCCGCACCTGCGGCGCCGACGGCGGGCCCGGCCGCCAGGGGGCGCGCTGGCGCGGAGAGGCTCACGTGCCGCGTGGCCGCCGCGCTCCCGCGGGGCCCGCCTGACGTCACACGCCGGGGGCGGGGCCGGGGCCGAGCCGCGCTGCTGCGGCGCGAGCGTCGTGGGCGCGTCCGGCAGCGGGACCATGCGCGCCGCGGGCGGAGGCCGGGACGAGGCGGCTGGACGCGCGGACGGCCAGGGCGACCCCGGCCACCGGGACCCCGACGCCGGCGACGCGGGGCGCGCGCTCGGAGCCGACGGCGCGGACGCGCTCGGGCCCGGCGCCCACGCGCCGTCCGAGGCCGCCGGGCCCGCGCCCAGAGCCCCGGGCAGCCGCCCGATCCAGTTGTATCCTACTTGCGGCACCGCGGGGGCGGGGGCGGGGGCGGGCCGGGCCCGGCCGGGGTAGGGGGCCCCCGAGGGACGGGAGGGTCGGCGCCCACCCTGGGTCGGGGGGTGGGGCGGCCGGAGCGGCCTGGGGTGCGCGCGGCCGTCCGGCCGTCGTGGGGCCCGAGGCCCGGCGGGAGCGCGGGGGGTTGCGCCTTAACCGAACGCCCGCCAGCTTCGTCGCGCAGCCCTTCCGGTCGCCCGTGGAGGCGCACGTGGCTCGCCAGGCGCTGGCCCGCCGTGACCAGCCCCTCCCCGGGGCCGTGCGCGCGGAGCTCCTGGTGTCCGGCAGCATCCTGTCCGTGTGAGTGCCCGGAGGGCCGTGCGGCGGGGGGGGGGGGGGGGGGGGGGCGGGGGGGGGGGGGGCGGGGGCGGCTCGTGGGCAGGCGCAGGGCGGCGGGCGGTGGCGCGCGGTGGGCCGACGGAGCCGCCTCCCCCTCCTTGCAGCCTGCTGACCGCGGAAGACCCGCCCAGCTGCGAGTGTCCGTCGCCGCGTTCCTGGAGCAGCTCTCCGCGGTGGTGCGGGCCCTGCAGCGCTCCGGGCCCCCCGTGGTGGTGAAGCCGAGGCCGGAGTTCGGGGGCTAGCCTCCCCCGGGTTCCCACCCCCCCCACCCCCGGCCACGCCGCCTGGCGCCCGGGGGCCGTTGCGGGGGGTGTCGGGGGCTCCGCTGTGCTGGCGCCTGCTCGCTGGGGGCTGCCCGCGGGAAATAAAAGGGACCCGCCATCCCGACTGTCTGCTTCCGTCCAGCGACCGCCCTGCCCCCCTTTCTGGCCCGGCCCCGGTTTGCAGGGGCGGGGCTGGGGCTGGGGCCGGGGAGGCCCCGCTCGTTCGGGTTCGGGGCCATCCGGGATGCTGGGACGCGGTGGGGAGGGGCAGAGGCGGCCGTGGGGTGCCATGGAGGGACCTGCTGCCCGAGGCTCGCGGGTCCTCCTACCTGCGCCGCGGCCCGGGCATCTGTCACTGTCTGCCTTTGCCCGCATAGCATTTTCTGCCTCCACTTCCTCCTGCCACGTGAGCTTTTCAGCCAGAAGGTGTTCACTGAAGCCTTGTGCGTGCACTTTCATGTAATTGTGGGCACTTTCCCTACCACCTTTGGTGGCCACCAGAGAGAAGGCAAGAGGCGCACATCCAACCTCGGGCCTCACGCACACCTGAGTCCCAGGGCTCTCCCTCAGCGGTCAGGTCACTGTGGGAGGCCGCCCCTCCCTCCCTCCCGGCTCCAGGTCCCTCACCACTGCATCTCCTCAGTGAGGGATCTTAAGGCCCGCTCGGCCCGCAGGGGCCAGCCCCACAGAGGGAGTAGAAGCAGAGCTTGGGGCTGGCTTGGTTGGGAAGAAGAGGTGCTGGTGCAGGGCTTCAGCCTCCGGTGGGGGTGCTCCCTCCCCGGGATGTGGCCCTGCAGCCCGGAGCTCAGCCCTGGCAGCTGTCTTCCACAAGCAGGTGCACGTTTGCTCCAGGGCGGTCGTGTCGTCTCACCCTGTAGAGCCCACAAGGCACGGGCAGGCTCTCCATCTGCGGGCAGCGGGTGAAGGAGCGTCCTGTTGCCCTCAGTGGCTCTTTCTACCAGAGCCAGTCGTTCTACCGCGCCAGTCGTTGCGCAGCAAGCCCACAGGCTGGCAAGGCAGGGAGGCTGGTGGGCCTCCCAGCCCTGGCGAATCTCCACTCTCTGCTCGGGCTCCCCCTGGAGTCCTGCCCCTCTGCGGCCCCTCGTCCTCTCGTGGCCGTCTCGCCGCAGCCACCTCTGTGATGCCGCCCTCACAGCCCCAGGCGCATCCACTCACGCAGGCCCGCACCACGCTCCAGGTGCCCCCCATCGGGCCCGCGCGCCCGGGTCCATGCTCCCAGGCGCCTCCTGCATTCAAGGCCGCAGGTGATGGCCACGGAGGCCACCGCTCACCCGACAAGCATCCCGCCGCTTTCCGCTTCCCCTCTGGTCCGGGGCGTTGGGCCAGGATGGTCTGCCGCTGTCCCCGGGAGCGCTCTGCTCTGACTGCGTGTCACCGGAGGCACCTGTCCCTGGGGGCCGGCGGCTCGGCGTTCCCGCACTCGTCCGTGACTGCGTCCTGCCGTGCCGTGAGGCCCCGTGAAGCTTAGGAGTCTTGCCTGGGAGGCGGGCGACATGCCCCCCGCAGTTCCCTCTCCACACTGCTGGAGCCCCAGGCCTGCTGACCCTTCCTCCCCGCCCGGGTGCGTCCCCCTGGTGCTGACCGGTGTTGTCGGGTCGGCCCGAGGGAGCCTCAGCACACACAGGGCTCTCCCTCCGCCCCGCCTCCCGCCCACGGCAGCTGCCGGCTCCGCCAGCCTGTCCCCAAGCGGGCACAGGGCGAACCCTCCAGGCCGCGAGCTGGGGCACTGGCGGGGCTCGCCTACCTGTCGTCAGCTCCCAGAGATCACGGTCCTTCACTGCCTGGCTACACTGTCTTGTCAGGTTTTGGGGGTGCTCCCAGTGGCAAGGCGAGTCCCCTCCTTGTCTCTGCAGATGTGGGAACGTTCTGCATTGGCAGAAGTCGGGGCCATGGACGTTGCACGCAGGAGTGGCCGAGGCTGCAGGGCAGTGTAGCCGGACTACATATTTCGATTGACAGCTGGCCGCACCCTCTGCTGGTTCTGAGGATCTGGGTATTCTTTTTTTTTTTAAGGTTCAAGTGTTTATTTTTATTTTTTTATAATAAATTTTATTTTTATATTCCCCATACAATTGCAACCCCCTTATTTTGACCCCAATCCCTCCCCTCCCGCCCTCTAACCCCCATACAGTGTCTCTGGTTCATAGTTGTTTGTTGATTTTGATTTTCACTTTCTTATAGTTATTCGTTTTCCTGGTCCCTTACTTAAGTTTTCTAGATTCCTGCTATGAGTGAGACCATCCGGTATTTTTCTTTTTTTTTCTGGCTTATTTCGCTGAGCATGATCCCTTCCAGCGCCATCCATGTTGCTGCAAATGGCATGTGTTTATCTTTTTTGATTGCTGAGTAATATTCCATGGTGTATATGTACCACACCTTCTTGATCCAGTCATCTATTTTTGGGCATTTGGGCTGTTTCCAAAGCTTAGCTATTGTAAACAGTGCTGCTTTAAACATAGGGGTGCAGGTGTTCTTTGGGATTGATGTTTCTGTGTCCTTTGGGTAAATACCTAGGAGTGGAATTGCTGGATCCTGTGGAAGCTCTATGTTTAGTAGGTCCAGAAATCTCCACACAGCTCTCCATATTGGTTGGACCAGTTTGCACTCCCACCAGCAGTGCAGAAGTGTTCCTTTTTCTCCACATCCTCGCCAACATTGTTGTTGCTAGTTTTTTTAATATGTGCCATTCTCACTGGTGTGAGATGGTATCTCATGGTGGTTTGATTTGCATTTCCCTGATGACAAGGGATGGTGAACATTTTTCATATGCCTGTTGGCCATTTGCATTTTCTCTTCAGAGAAGTTCCTTTTTAGCTCTTCTGACCATTTTTGACGGGATTATTTTCTTTGTTGTTGTTGAGTCTCATCAGCTCTTTGCAGATTTTTGTGATCAGTCCTTTATCATTAGTGTTGGGTGCAAAAATGTTCTCCCACTTGGTGGGGTTTCTCTTTGTTTTTGTTATTGTCTCTTTTGCAGTGCAGAAGCTCTTTAATTTGATGTAGTCCCAGCTGTTGATCTTTGCCTTCACTGTCACTGCTTTGGGTGATGTGTCTGTAAAGATGTCTTTGATGTGCATATCACGTAGTGTTTCGCCTATATTTCCTTCTATGTATTTTATGGTTTCAGGTCTTATGTCTAGTTCTTTAATCCATTTTGAGTTGACTTTTGTGTATGGTGTGAGGTAGTGGTCAAGCTTCATTCTTTTGCATGTAGCGACCCAGTTTACCCAGCACCATTTATTGAACAAACTTTCTTTGCTCCAACGCATAATCTTTGCTCCTTTGTCAAAGATTAGTTGACCATAAATCTGTGGATTTATTTCTGGATTTTCTATTCGATTCCATTGGTCTGTATGTCTGTTCTTGTTCCAATACCATGCAGTTTTGATGATTATGGCTTTGTAGTAGAGTTTGAAGTCTGGGAGTGTGATGCCTCCATTCCCTTCTTTTTTTTTCAGGAGAGCTTTGGCTATTTGGGGTTTTTTGGGATTCCATATGAATTTCATCAATAATTGTTCTATTTCTTTGAAGAATGACATTGAAATTTTGATTGGAATAGCATTGAATCAGTATATTGCTTTTGGTAGGATGGCCGTTTTAATAATGTTTATTCTCCCAATCCATGAGCAGGGGATATCTTTCCATTTCTTTGTGTCTTCTTCTATTTCTTTTAACAGTGTTTTATAGTTTTCTTTGTATAGGTCCTTTACCTCTTTTGTTAGATTTATTCCCAAATATTTGATTTTTTTTGTTTCGATAATAAAAGGGATTTTTTTTATTTCTTCTTCTTCAGATTTATTGTTTGTGTATAGGAAGGCTACTGACTTTTGCGTGTTGATTTTGTATCCTGCCACTTTACTGAACTGATTGATGAGTTGAATTAGTTTTTCTGTGGAGTTTTTGGGGTTCTCTATGTATATTATCATATCATCTGCAAATAGTGATAGTTTGACTTCTTCTTTTCCTATTTGGATTCCTTGGATGTCTTTCTCTTGTCTTATTGCTCTGGCTAGGACTTCCAGTATTATATTGAAAAGCAGTGGTGAGAGTGGACCTCCTTGTCTTGTTCCAGATCTTAATGGAATTGCTTTCAGCTTTTCACCATTGAGAATTATACTGGCTGTTGGCTTGTCATAGATGGCCTTTATGATGTTGAGGTATGTTCCTTGTATCCCAAGAATTTCAAGGGCTTTTATCATGAATGGGTGTTGCACTTTGTCGAAAGCTTTCTCAGCATCTATTGATATTATCATATGGTTTTTATATTTCTTTTTGTTGATGTGTTGGATAATGTTGATTGATTTTCGGATGTTGAACCATCCTTGTGTCCCTGGAATGAATCCTACTTGGTCGTGGTGAATTATCTTATGGATACATTGTTGGATTCTGATAGCTAAAATATTATTGAGGATTTTTGCATCAGTGTTCATTAGGGAGATTGGCCTGTAGTTTTCCTTTTGGTGTGTTGTCCTTGTTCGGCTTCATAGTGTAATGTTGGCTTCATAGAACGTGTTTGGTATTGTCCCTTCCTTCTCAATTTTTTGGAAGAGTTTGTGAAGGATAGGCACTAATTCATCTCTGAATGTTTGGTAGAATTCATTTGTAAATCCATCAGGTCCTGGGCTTTGTTTTTGGGAGGATTTTGATTACCATTTCAATTTCGCTGCTTGTAATTGGTCTGTTTAGGTGTTCTATTTCTTCTTTATCTAGCTTTGGGTGATAGTAGAGTTGTAGGAATTTGTCCATCTCCTCTAGATTGTTGAACTTGTTTCCATATAACTGTTCATAGTAGTTACTGATTATTCTTTTGATTTCTGCTGTGTCCGTTGTGATTTCTCCTCTTTCATTGATGATCCTGTTTATTTGTGCTTTCTCCCTTTTTTCCTTTGTAAGCCTGGCTAGGGGTTTGTCTATTTTATTGATTTTTTTCGAAGAACCAGCTCTTGGTTTCATTGATC